GCTCTAGGCAACTTACCCACGTGGATGTTATTTTATCTTGTCTATAGTGTGCATTAGAAAGGAAGATATCTTGCCATCTGAGAACAACATATAAGGTGCCATTTCACATGGGATGATGGCTGATGCTCACCTGCCAGCATGTAGGTCAAATCATATGAAGGGAATGGCCCAGAGGACTGGGCTGTTTCCACTTACAGGTGTTGCTTACCCATATTCCTGAAACCTAGTTATTTTGTTCCATTTCAGTGGGTGTATGGAAAGGAAAATAAACTACTTGTTTCATTTTCTTTTCCTCCATCAAATCTGAAAAACGTCAGTTATGTTCCCAGAGAGAGTCCTTTCATAACCATTTAATTTGGGGAAAATAGCACATTACAGAACCAAACCAAAAAGTTGCTTGTTTTTGTTTTTTTTTTTTTTTTTTTTTCAAGAATTAATTAGCCTCAGTTTCCCTCACTATTGCCTCCAGCAACAAGCAGATTAGGCAGAACTGCCATGCAATTGCTATGCATTGCTCTTTGGAGCTGCCTGTTGAGCTCATGCTGTCGAAAACTGAACTTTTGATCTTTCACTTGGTAAGAATTAGTGGTTTTCTGCTCTCAGGCTGCACAAGAACTATTCAAAAAGACTGAACTTCTATAGGATCAGTGTGTAGCACTGATAATGCACTATCTCTGGTTTCCCATCTGTTAAATGCTCCTCAGTCTGTGTATCCTGCTCAGTGTTTGAAATTCATTGGATAGAGTTTTGTAGTGAGCAGACTTCAAATCACTGTGGCTTCACTTCTTGAATTTGATTCAAGAAAGGAAGGACAGTTCAAGAAATAAAGACAGCCTCTTATGCTTAAGCGTTTGATACAACAGAAGTCCACTAAATATGTCCAGTGGCATAAAGCCAGATTCTTCTTTACTTGTTATCAGTCCCATCTTAATGTAAAGCACTGGCAGAACCCAAGTGCCTCTTGGCTCCTTGGGGTAAGAACTTCAAGCAGCTTGGACTCACCAGGGCCTTAGTGGGAATATGACCTGTAAGCATGGTTGCACCCTGGCATATTTGAAGGGACATTTCCTTGGGAGGTCATTTTGTTGTGTTGGCATAACAGTGAAGAGTATTGTCTGGAATATGAGAATCTCATATGAGTATTATCTCATTTTTGCCCAGCAGAGCCAAAGAGCTGGGTGAAGTAATGCCATATGAGAAAATTGTCTGAACAGAAAAAAATGCCTCTTTTCAAGACCTGCAGGTTTTATTCTGGAACCCTGCTGCTTGTTTCAGGGATGGCTCTGTTGCTCATCCTTCCTTTGTGGCTTTTCAGCTTTTCTTCTAAGATCTGGTGCAAAGTCAATGGCAATTTTCCTGTTGACTCTGAGGGGGCTTTATATCAGCACTTAATTGATTTACTAGCTCTCTTCCTAAAGCAGCTACACATACACATTATTAGATACACATGATACTTTAAACATGCCCTCAGGTTGCCACATCTAGGTTCCGCAAAACTGAAGGAATTTCATTCAGTCTCCTTTGGCCTGGGAGAGGTTATTTCCTCTCCTAGAGCAATTGAACATTGACTGCGTGTTGTTTTGCTAGTTTTGTTCTGCTTTTATCTGCTACATGTAGCAACCTTACCTGGTAATATTAATCATGGGAAATGTAGAATAACATAAAGATGAAACATGTGCTGGCCTTAATATTTGTCTGGCCAGTAAAGGTGGCTGCAAGCAGACTTCTTTCTTGTAAATTCTCCTTCATGTTGTATACTTAACGATCACAAAACAAACTTTTCTTGTGTATCAGCATCCCCTTTCACTTCTGCTTCTAAAAGCATTAAATTGGTACCGTAGTTTTCTGGGGGTATATTTTACATTTTTACTGTCTTTCCTTCCAAAATCAATAAGCCTTTGCAGCAAAGTCTTATTTCCAAGTGATAAGCGGACAGTGGCTGCAAAGCTGTAATATGCAATTGATGCTTAGGAGTTTTGATAAGGTGGTACATTTTTTTTTTGAGGGAGAGGCAGTGAAATCCTGAAAACCCCAAGGTGATTTTTCTGTCAAGCAACATTTGAGACTCAAAATCTTATAGCAGAACCAAGAGCTTTTGCTGAACATTTGAACTTAATAGGTATTTATTTTTATGCATAAAATGTCCTGTGCAAGTCCTCACTGAATAATAAAATAACTTTTTCATAGCATTAGGTTGCACTGGTAGACAGTGTGCACGATTTCACTATTTAAATCCTTTTTAATGGTGGTTAATCCTTCAGTCTTTGATTCAGTGGGTGACTGCCATTTGTAACACCCTTATGGAGAAGGAGAGGAGAAAGAGAAGGGGTGAGGGGTTAAGGAAAAATGATAGTGTCAGGATAGTGTGAGAAATGCCCTGTGGAGGTGGCAACGTTTCTGCAATTAGCAGTGTGAAAATGGTAGATTGGTTAGCGATCTCCATGCATTATTGCATTATTGCATGCTGTTTCTCCAGCAGAAATGAGAGCTGCCCACTGTGTTCTGTCCAGACACAGGTAGCCTCCTTATTTTTTTTTTCTTTGTTTTGCTTCCCAGATGGTCACTTTATCTGACACACTGGCTTCATTTCAAGCCTGACTGGAAAAGTTGTCCTGGGCGCTCACTGAGCATCAGCAATTCCTTTTCCTCTCCAGCCAACTGCTTGATTGCCATGTCTGAGATGAGATTGCCCCAGCTAATCCCCTGTTTGCGTGGCAGAGCTGGGACTTGTTGATGGCTTCAGGTGTTGAGAGATGGTTGTCCCACACCTATTCTGTCTTTTCTGTATATTACCTTAACCTTTCTCAAGTTTGCCTTCAGCACACTCACACAGAGACAGATGTGGTTGGGCAATAATGTTCCCTCCTGTTCTTGTAGAGAGTTTGGTCTGCCCACATTATCTCCCTGCAAAGAGGGACTTACCTCCTCCTAGAAACAGGGCTGACCATATATAACTGTTTCCATCATGACTTTCCCTGTGCCAGAGCTGAACTTACTTGGAATATATTCTCAGCTCCCCTCTTCCCCCATACCAGCTAACCACCAGCCTCTGCACTCATTACAACCTCTTGATCCTCCCTGCCACAAATCACTACATTGAGTTTTTAGCCCTAAACACAAAGGAGCAATATTGTACCTGCTGCACTCCACTTTGCACCTTTCCCTCAATCTGGAGTGCTTTGAAGCACAGCTAATGAGAATTTAATAATGACACCATCTGGGTGCTAAACTGCATCTTCTCACAATTTGTCCCATAACAGTGCTGGTTTAAGAAGGTGATACATGCACAAATATGCCATAACACAGAATTGCTGCTATAATTTGTTATGCTGGTACAAGAACATCCTAGATTGCTGCTAACTGCTCTTGCTGGTACTGGTGTATCAGCAGATAAGTTACACAAAGAACAGACATCTGAAACTATAGAGAGCAGCTGGCTAGGAAAGGCCTTAGTGAATTTTCAGAAGGGAACAGCAAAGAGCTGCCTCTGGGCCACATTTCATTAGTGAAACATCTCTACAGTAATCACCTGTAGAGAAAACTGCTTTAGCTCAGTCCTTCCTCTGGGAGTACCACCTGGTGCAATATGAGTCTGTTCTATGCCTCCCAATTCCGTTTCCCTGTGCAGCTTTGCAGGGCGGGTCCCAAATTCTCACTGGATTAATTGGGAGAAAGATGATGTGAAATTCAAATTTACCAAAAGATGGGGCTAGAGACCTCCTTCCCCAAGAAAGATGCTGCCCAGCTGGCACCCTGAGTACCTGCCTCTGAGCCCTAAGGCAGCTCTGGAGTCCTGTTTACCAACACTTAGTGCAAGAACGCTTCACATTTTCAAGCTGTCAGGCTTCAAGGAGCTATTATGTTAAAAGACAAGTGTGGGCATCTGTAGAGCCATTGTATTTGTACTTCAGTAAGACAGGACAAGACATATTGGGCCTCCTGGATATATATGTTTAGATTCTGATTTATTCAAGCAGGAGGGGAAAGCATCCTTGTGCATGCTTATTCAGTAGCAGCACAAACCAAAAACTAATTAGGTCAGTTCAGCACGAAGGGGAGCTATAATTTGCTTGCAGCTCAGCCATTAAAGTAAAAACTAGTTTATTATGCTAGATAAAAGCATGCTACTATAATCACCCTGTACAATTAGACCTATATTGCTGCCAAAACAATGTTTTCTTGATTAGTCCCACAGATGCCCAAAGGCAGGTGTCTTGAGGTCTTTTACAGCTCTTCAGTTAGATGCATTCAGAGATGTAGGTGAGAACAGGCCAATAGCTCCTTGTTATCTTGCATTCACAAGGACCCTTGCATACAGTAGATTATTCTTTTGAAAAGAATAAATGTTACTTGTCAGCCCAGCTCCTCCATCTTCAAAGTACCTTAGCAATATTGAAAATTTAGCTGGATTTGTTCTGAAGTTGGTTAGAATTGCTTTCTCCCTGTGTAACATCATTTACCTGGCCAAAGTAGAGATGGATTGACAAAACTGCTGTGTGGAAGAAGGAAGCTTTCTTTATCAGTGCTTTCACAATCTAGATTTTAAAAGTTGACAGCAGGGCTTAATCTCCGAATAAGCAAAGTTAAGCTCCAAACAACTGCAGTTCAACTTAGTTCAGGCTTGTAGTGAAATGTTGCCATATTATAACAAACTAGTAAAGCTAGCAGCTTGAATTTTCAGGGCTGTCCCGCTATGATACGTGCTCTTATATATTCCTAGGTTGTTTGCTCTATATGCAGCCCTTAAAGGTGAGGACATACATAAACCCTTGCAAGATCGGAGTTTGAGTTAGGCCTCCAGCTCCAGTTGTTCTGGGAATTGGGTACCTACAGCTTAAGCTGTTTTCAAAATCCTATCAGTTTCTGTATTCTCTATTAACCTGCTCAGACAAAACTGATAGCAAGATACATTTGCACTGAACTGTTTCTTCCATGATGTAAGTGCTTGCATTCAGAGCAGTGGAGTCATTTTTAATATGGCCACTGTGTTCTTCTACTAGCTGTGAATATCATCAATGTATCATCACAGGAAAGATGGAAAGAGGAGTTGATGTCAGCCTTAATTCTCTATTTCCTGGAGGCTTAAATTGGTTTAAGACCTTTCACACTCCTGGGATGATTTCTGGATTTCAGCCTTCAGGGAGGAGAGGTCAGCATGAGTTTTACAACAAGTAATTTATTTGAAAGAATGCTGTCAGGGTTCATAGACCCACAATTTGAAATATTCTGCTGTTTGCAAAGTTCACATACTTCCTTGTGTGCTGTTTCTAACCAAATCTTTTGGAGCTTGTCTTCCTAAAAATAAATCAGCAGATGCAGCCCAATATGTCTGAGCTTCTCTAAAACATATACTCAGTACATGGTATCTGAGACACATTACTATGAGGAACTGGGAAAACATGTCTTTAAAGTGTTTGTAAGTATCTGAGCATATAAAACCTGCTAATTTGTGAGCCTCCACATTGAAGACTTGATTCAAGACAACCCGATAGTGATTAGCTTGGATCCTGTCTGCACAAGCAATAGATGTGTTTTTTACAGAAGGCTCTCCAATTGCATATGGCTTGGAAGGAGAAGTCACAATATCTTTTCATTTTTATCTGGTAGATTTAGTCCTGTTCATTGGTGGAAAACTGAGGAAGAGAACTCTTACCTGCTATTAAACGTTGGAAGGAAAGACAACATTACATGTCTCATTGGCTGATTAAAGACACAGTTTTGGATGAGAGCTGGTCACTACTCGGGCAAAGAAGCTAGCAAAGCACATGGAAAATTTGGTGATTCCAAGTACGCCAGAAAGGACAATTGCTAAGAACTGAACTCGGAATCAGTGTAGAGAGTAAACTAAAAGCAGGGGCAATTTAGAAATGGATATGAGGTATTCTGTGAGCAGCCTGGGCAGCCTTGTTACCCAAGGCAATCAAGGAAGCAATGGTGTCACAGACAGCAGGATATTCCTTCCTGTGGAAAAGTATGATGTGCCACCACATCTGAGTCTGGAAACAGCTGAAGAAAACTAATCTGACCTTCTGGGACACATAATAAAGGAAGATAACCCCTTAAGGAGGAAAATACATTTAAAAAAAATGCTTTAACAGCATCTGTTGGTAGCAACAGCACTATTTCTAGTGAAAATGTGATAAGCTACAAGATTTAATGTGTATCATCTTTGCACTATGAAGCAGGCTGAGATTGCTTCCAGGGTACAGCAGAGATTTGCACAAATGTGAGAAAAAGCAATGTTGTCTGGGCTTCAAGCTCAATTTCTGCTATTCAGATACAAAAACTATCTAAATCCTATCTCACAGCAGACCAGGACAAGGTCAGTTAATCACAGTGGAGCTGTGGAGCAGTGGAAGGGTTACTCTGATATATACTGTTCAGAAACAAGAGCAGACTTGCCAGAGTTTTAGCCAGTCGTTGCTTCTCCTATCTCACAATGTTAACAGCATCTCTGTGTGGGTGAACATGTGGGATGTGAACAGGGAGAGATGGAGCCCTTGCTTGGCTTGACTGCAAGGCAGAGGGCCATTGTGAGGTTGAGTAAGGATTTACTTTGCAGGGAGTGGAAGAATTACTGACTAATTGTAGAGTCCTGAACTGCAATTTAGACTTGAGCCATGTCAAAGAAGACAAATTTTTCTAGGAGGATGACGACAGTGATCAAGCAGTTAGGGCAGAGAATTTTAAAAAGAAAGAAGGTGAGGGCTAAAATCCTGAGTTCTGTAGGATGCAACAGCCTCAGAAAAGGGAGAAAATCCCAGATAGATAATAGAAGTGTATTCACCTAAAATTTGCATTGGTGAATCTGATAATCACACAATTAGGGGTGAAAAGACTGAAATTATTATGTAACTACATGTCTCAAAGCAGCCTCAGTTATGCCTCTGTCCCTCCTGGCAGATTTCTGTTTGCTTGTTGCTAAAGGCTGTTCAGCAATGAAGCTTCACAGCCTCTGGAGGAAGTCTTCTCTGCAGCTTTACTACCAATTGAAAACCCTTCCTAATGCCTAACCTAAAATAACCTGCAGCAATTTGAGCCAATTGTTGCCTTAGCACACATACAAATAGACTGTCCCTTTGTCCTCCAAATACTCTTCACTATTTGAAGACTAGAATATTCTCTCAATTTTCTCCTTTATGTACATTAATCTTGTTAGAGATCAGATTTTTCTAGACTTCAGGCTGTGCTTGTCTGCCTGTGCACTCTCTCCACTTGATCAGTTTCTTTTATGCTTAAGTCTAGCATCCAAACTGTGTGAGCAGATATGACACCAGCCACAGCTTTTCCAGGAGTGAATAGAAATAGTTCAAGGTTCTCAGACTCTTTTGATCTGTGTATCCCTGTTTGAGGTTGGTCTGTTTTAGCATGGTGCAACATTACTGTTTTATTGTGATTCACTATTGCTCCCTGATAGCTACAGCTATCAGGATCTGGGGATGGGTGCAGGAGACTCCCAGTCCATCTTTAGTCAATGAAGAAAGCAGTGGTTCTACAGAGGGTAATCCCATGTGTTTTCGCATCATAAAATCATTTAGGTTGGAAAAGACCTTTAAGATCAAGTCCAACTGTTAACCCAGCACTGCCAAGTCTACCATTAATCCAAGTGCCACATCTATTCAGGCATGGCGATTCCAGCTACTCTTCCCCAACCCATTGCATGTGGTTGTTGTGACCCAAGTGCAGGACTCAGCACTGGGCCTTGCTGAACCTCATACTCTACAGAGCTTTTTTTACCCTCTAGCACAGCAACACCCCTGCCCAACCTGGAGTCATATACAATCTTACTGAGGGTGCACTCAACCTCCTTGTCCAGATCATTTGATAAAGATGTTAAACAGGACTGTCCCTGATATGGAGCCCTGGGGAGCACCACTTGTGACCAGCCACTAATGGGATTAACTCCCTTCACCAGAGTTGAAGGGTAGAGGCAATCAGATCAAATAGTTTAGTCATGCTGAGCTGGCTATGAAGGGCACCATTCACCCTTGCTGCTGGAGATTCCCTAATGATTAATTTCTGTATTGAATCACTTTCAAATTACCCAAGTCACTCAAATGCCTGAAGTGCCTGGAGCAATTAAACAGGAACATGTGGCCATATATGCTACTTGCTAAGGTAAAATGGATCTGAGGTATTTTCAGCCTCCTTTCATGTCAGTGCCTAGTTCACAGCACTAGCTTCTGGAAAGGACAGTCCCATGCAGTGTATTACTTGGTCTCTGCTGCACTATCCCTATTCCTTTCCCTTCTCCACTGCAGGTGTTCACCTGTCTCTGGCCTGAAGCATGAAGGTCAAGAGCTGCTTCTTTATCCTTGTCATTGGCTTGGTGCAGGTGCTAATTCAAGACACATAAATGCCTAATCCTATTTTGAGGCTGACTTGTTAGCTCTGTAAAATGTAGCAGTTCGCAGGTGTTCGGAGGAATAGTTTAACACATTAGCACACTTTTTTGGTGATTATTTTCATGGAACTCTTTAAATAACCATTAAGCTTTGACAGCACCAAGCAGAGGCAGCAGCTATTTAAAAATAAAATGAGGAGAGGGGTAAAAGCAGTGTGGTTGTAAAAAAAGGAAGCAGTAGGCTGCAGATAGCCAGCCTCTCCTTTGGGATCAGGCTGCCTTTGCAGAACCCAGTGCTTGCTTTGCCGGCACAGACCAATGATAGATCTTACTGTTTATTTCTGTGGTGTTTTTCTGCCCCCAGTTACATCGCTGCTCTCATTTCTGTGCAAACAACAGTTCCTGCCTCAAAAGCGTGAGTGCAATTAAGGATAGATCTAACCTCACTCTTAAATTTAGCTTTTCTCCACAGTTTTCTCATGCAAGCATACATTTGGGTGGGATTTTGGCTCAACTCCAGAGCTTCCTGTAGGCTTCCTGTCCAGCTGTGCCTGCTTCTCCATCATCCACTGGGCTCCTGTACCTGTGATTTTGATGGATCAGGTGTAGGTATCATCCTATGTCACTACCTCATTAGGTAGCTAAGATTTAGCCTTGCCAGGCACAGCATCATCCTGTTTCCCCCGCAGATGTTTTTTGTTCACAGTAAAGCTGATCAAGGGATTTCTATCATGGCAAAGAATTACCTTTAAGGCTTCTATAGGGACATGCTTGCCTAATTGTGAAACTGCAACACACACACAAAAAAATCCTCAGCTTTGTATTTCTAAGGACTTTATCTAGCTTAAACCCACAGAGATCCACAAAACAGGTATGTTTGTCTCTCCCTGGTGCACTGCCCTGCATGGCGAGGTCTGCCAGCCAGAAGCTGCTTTGGAAAGACCTTGTGCTTGAGCAGTTGGATTAGCAGCATTCTGTACATAATGCTTTTTTTTCCAGCCCTCTCTTCCTCTCTGCAACATGCAGGCACACAACATATATAGCCTTGAGGTTGATTTGGTTAAAAAGATTGTTTTCAAGAAGCAGTGGTGGAAGTCTTATTAGGAATAACTGTCTGAGCGCAAACAGATGCGCAACACAGAGGGTAGTGAATGTGTCTATGTGGACTTGGACCTATTAGCTGCCTCAAACACATTTTTCACTTCAGTGTTGGCAATTTATTCTGTGCTTTCTCCTGTCTGCTCTGAAATAGGGAGAAGTGATGGCAGTTCCACTGAATCACAGTGCTGAAGGATGCTTTGTATGTATGCATGCATGTAGGTAGTGCTGGAAAGCTTCCCGGGCTCTCCTGCAGCTGCAGAGTATTCCTCTCAGTAGCACTAGGTGGATGATGGACCAGAAGCTTCGCAGTCTTAAGTGTAAGGGAGAGTAATTGGACAGGACAGAATTCATATTGCTTTTGATGGCCTTGGAAAACTATGTTAAAAACAAATACCGTAACTTTTGGAAAACAAAGATGTTCACAAAAGTAAAAGGCCAAAAGCAGCTCGCCCCACAACGCAGAGAGTCAGGGTTAAAAGACTGATGAGCAGAAAGAGAATAATGGGAAGGAAAGTATTAAGGGTTAAGAAAGAAAGGGGAAAGGAGTCCTTTATCTAGGTATTAAAAGTTTAACCCAGTAAATCTCCCTCTTTCTCTTATTTCTGGGATAAAAATAAGAGCCCTTGGAAAGCTTAAAGGCTAGATTTGAGAAGGCAGCCGTGAGTGTAAGGATGCTCAGACAGAATTAGGGACTGTAGAAATCCCTAAGCTGCTTTTTCTTAGGAGGAAAAAACCCAAACCACAGTTACCACTTAAGCAAAGTCTGATGTGTCTATATTTTCAGATGACCACAGTTTTTAAAAAGGCCCTTATAATGAGGCTTTAACTTCAGTCAAATCTTTCAGTGGCAGGAGCAAAACTTGAGGCATTGGGTCTGCACTTGCCATGCAGTTGTGATCATAAGAAGTACCTGGGGAAAGTGGCATATTCCAGGCTAAAATCCATGTTCAAGGATGATTAACCCTCTGGAAGTGCTTGCCTCTTATAACCACTACAGGGAATCTGGCTCACTAGCTCAGATGAATAGCATGCATTTCCTATAGGTAAAAATCAATGCCACTCCATGTAAGCACCCAAAGCTTATCTGTGTGCCAGCCCAAAGCTTTGTTCATTTTCAACACAAAAGATCCAGGAATCAGACCCTCTCTGGCAGAGCTCACTCACATTTGCATGGGACAGATATAGCTTTGCAGCTGCATTAGATGGCTTTAAGTATTAACTTTCCCATTAAAGTGAGAAAATGGAGCTGCTCAGGAAACATGCACAGAGTGTATACTGAGGAGCTCTTAGATTCAATTTTATGGCCAGAATCGCATTTGAAGCAGGTTCCTGTTAACACAGGAAATACTGTGCTTACTGAAAAAAACAAAAGCCTGTTCCCTAATGTCCTTGGTATCATTTGCATTTTATGCCAGCAATAAGACAGATTTACAGGCAAACTGCCAACCTGTTTATTGGGCTTAAAATCTGACTCCCCCTCCACTGCTCTGTAATAAGCAATAAATGAACAAACATTGCTCCCCAGGCTGCACCTATGCCAGCCAATACAACCTAGGATGCTTCTCTGTAGGGATAGGCTGAATAAGAGAGAGATCTCTGTCTAGATCAAATGTGCTGGTTAAAGTAATGTTGGGCATAACATTAGCTGGCACTAATGACAGCTTCAGTGTCCTCATCTGGATGAGTCTTGCTCTCAGGACATCTGAGTCGACACTGGGGAAGACATGGGTCAATCACCTCATCTGATTAGTTGGTTTGTTGCATAGGCTGATATAATGCTTGTGAGATGCAAAATGCTCTGAATCTTCCTGCTAAAGAAAGAGGAATCATTCTTGGAGCACAGAAAAGAATAGATTTTCTTTTAAAAACAAGTGGTTTTTTTCTGTCAGATACAATGCATATCAACAGCAGCCCAAACCTAAATGGTTTTGGACTGTTTTTGTTATTGCAATGAAGTTGCTATTGGTCATTAGCATTAACAATTTTGTCAAGCAAAGAACATGTAGTGATTTAGAGATAAAAGAGAGTCTTCTTTTCAGCACAGGACTGGTCTTTTTCAATTCCTCCCCAAAAGGAAGATAATGTTGAAAAGAATGGGGGAAGACTAAGGAGGAGTACCCAAGGAAATAGGATTTACTATCAAAAACCTATGCCCTACCATTTCCATATGCAATGCTTATGTAACAGATTGTTAATAAAAGATCATAAGTAATCATAAAATCAGAGCCTGCACTGCAAAAGCATAACCCCTAGCAAAGAAAAACTCCTTGCACCAGTGTTTCTGTAAACAGCATCTACTTAAAAATTAAATCTTGGTATACTGTATGCATATAAAAACATGCAGCTGTGAGTAAATCCAGGCAAAATGACTGCATTTAACAGTATCCTCACAGACCTGCATCCAGAATAGCTTTGGCTCTGCAGCATTCTTCCTCCACTGTTCCTTCTTCCACTGACTGTAACCATTGCACTAACTGAGATTTCTCTAATCTGATTTTAGCCATCTAAAAAATTGTCACCCATTGTAATAGTGCTGTACGTTCCCACTTTCACGATCCACCTACAATACACACTTTCAGGTTTCTAGACATTGATTGGTACAACCATTATTGCTTGAGGTGGTCACTTGAGGGAGACTCTTGCCTGAAGGAGAGCTGAACAATCTTGGGGTGTTCTGAGAGCAGATGGGCACTTCGGTATAGGAAATGGTCTTTAGTGGGAGCCATTCACATGACCTGAGAATTAATGCTGGCACTTCAGGGTTTCCAAATCAGTTCTGGAATTTCCTTCATGTGTTTGTATTCTGGAATATCCTTGCAGATTCTCTACAAATCAAAATTACATGCAATTGTTTTCCAGCCTCTGTTTTATCACTGATCTATGCTCTCATCTCATAACATTGAAGTTTGAAATTAACCATAAGGGCAGTTATTGAGGTTAGAGAGCAAACAGTTACTCCGCAAATAAACCTGTAGAGATCTCTAGTTCTGTGATCTCAAGTTTGGATGCCAGCTATTCTGAGGTATCAGTTTAAATGCCCTTATATTCAGTGAAATGAGAACATCGTAAATAATTTAAAAGGCAATGCAAGTGCACAGATACGTGTCATCTTTTGGGTACAGCTATCCAGTGAAAAGGAGCAGATCCTGCTCTTGATGGTGCTCAGAACCTGATGCAGTTTTGCTTCTAAGCCTCCTCTTAATCACATTTGGAGTTCTTACTGCAGGGTTTGAGAAAAGGTTTATCTTCAGCCCCAAAAGATGATAAACAAGCCTCCTGCTGTCCTTCCCTCTCACTTTCAAAAGATTTACTTTACTAGCATATTGGGAAATCATCATTAGAGGCTTGTGCTTTCCCTGCTAGAAGCCATTCTTCAAGCTAGTAAATCAGCCTGCAGGTAGCTTCATTCACTGAAGTTAGGTGACAAGGATGTGTATGATAAAAGTTTCAGGTATGAAAGCAAGATGGGAACTAAATTAGCCTGCAAATCTGTCAGACTGAAGGTGCAAATATACAAGTTTATATCTCTGTAACTAAAATAATTTCCTGGTAAAAAGCTGTATGCTGTTTGGGTCAGGGTGAGTGCAAGCAATGAGGTTCATTTGCACATGCTGCATGAAAGGTAGCTCAGACTTACTCTGCAGTCTGAGTCAGAGGAACAAGTAATTGAACTAAAAATAGTTCAATAAGTCTGCAAAAGGTAGTCTGTGGTTGCTATGCAGCTGAATGGCAAGTGTAACTGAATGGGACACTTTAATACCAACAACTCTCATATCCTGCAAGAACTACTGAAAATGAATTCAATGGTAGTGCAAGTATCACAGCTTGATGTCCCATCTTCCTACATTCTAGTTCTGAGCATCACATAAAGGCACAGATAAATCAGTGTAAATACCAACAAAACGATTGCTTTAATGAAATTTCTAATGTTGTTAGAACAGGCCGTTCTATGCTTATTCTAGCAAAACGGACATAAGTGTGGTATGCCCTTAGAAACATGAAACAGTACAGAAACTGGGAGAAAATGAGGTGGAGAAGTAGATGTACTTGCATGGGGGGGGGGGGAAGGAATAAGGTAAAATGTGGAGATAAACAAGCCTTTGACAGATAGAGTCTGAGCTGCCAAAGAGATAGGAGTTACATGCTAAATGAGCAACAAAATTAAGTCTTCAGCAATAAAGAGGATAAATGAAAAGGGGCTGAAGAAGGGCAAGAGAAAAATGAAAGTGCAAAATGAACCCAGAAAATAAAACAAAGATTGAGTCAGTGTGGGTGTGCATGCAGGTGTCTGTGTTTGCAAGCACAAATATAGAACAGGAAGATGCAGATCAAACAAAAAGATGATTTAAAATCTGCAGAACATTCTGAAGCTGGAAGGATAAAAAGTGATTGAAATAAGAATGTAAGTGGGGAAAGCTGTGAATTAAAGGATAAATGGTAGGAAGAGCAATTGAAGGATTAAAACAGTTTCAGCATTTTTGTGAACTCTAGTGATGGGAGAGAAGAAGAGAAACTAAAATCTGAAAACCTAAAGGTTTAAGACAATACTTGGAAGGCCTTTGCCTCAAAGAGTCATGGAGGGACTGTAGACCTCCCTGAGAGGGTGCCTTTGGGGGCACTCTCTGGTGCTCGCAGCTCACATGGCTTGGCCAGTTTCATTCAGTATTACTCTGCCAGCTAAAGGTTACTGGCAAAATGAACAGGCCAAGTGTCACCAATTTGTCTTCAAAGCTCTTCGCTGGTCAGCTTGACTCCTCAGGCTATTATACTGGCATCTGTGGATGTGCTGTAAGTATTGCGCTGTACTGGTGGTATTGGACACAGAAGACTTTGAGCCTCTTGTTTCTTGGATTTGCTGTTAATTGCTTGCACTTACACTTCACAAGCACATGGGAAGCAATTAATGGCATTTCCCAGGCACAAAGAGATGGAATTGAAAGCATATCCAAAGCTCAGCTTTCTCCTTTCCTTTGCAGTACATTGCAGTGAGCTTCTGGGGTGAAACAGAAGTGTGCGCTACAGAAAGGGAGAGAGCCCTCTGGCTCACTTGCAAAGCTATAGTGAGGCATAAATCTCATATCTATGTCCTGGTGAGTGGTTGGGGTAAATTGAGGAAGACAGCACAACCCTTCAGGGATGGTCTTCTGCCTGACTGCTGTTTCTCTGATCAGATGACACTGCACTTAACTGCAAGCTGCTCTGTCTCTCTGCTCCCTTTCTAGGCTAGCTGTGTGTAATGCAGCCTGAAAAGGAGGCTGTGTCGCATTGGGATCTGTGCAAGAAATACAGGAGTAGGCAACTGCATGAAGGTCTCTGCTTTTGTGGGCATGTTATCTTCAGGTTGGATGCTCTGTCAGGAACTGCTCAGTATCAGTTTGGCCTAATTCATTTGTTTAGGCTGTTGATACAAGTTAGAGATTGGATCTGTACTTGACTCAACTCTTTGGGAACTGACAGGCACAGCCGTTTCCCAACTCCCTGAATTATTCTGACATGCTGTAGCAGTGTTCAAGCACAATACAAATTGTGACACAGGAGGTGTCTTTACAAAGCACTGAACTCAACCTCCTTCTAGTCTATTATATATCCTGTCTTCACATAATACCCTTTGAGACCACATAAATCATCCCAGGAAGCTTAGTCATGTGCCCATCTGTGATTCAGGGGAGCAGTCTGAACACCTGAATTAACGTAACCTGGTTGTCATCTTCCCAGTGCTTTTCACTGAGCCAAGCCTCTCTAAGGAGCACTGGAACTGACCTGTGTTTAAGGGAAGGACACATACCTATGGGCAGAAAATGAGGATGCAGCTCAACAAACACTTGCCTGCTCCCACTTCTGTGCAGTGGCTCACTGTCACCTTGCTTTTGGCAGCATAACCTCACATAGGGCTGTGCTGTGAAGCAGGTCGCTAAAATGATCCAGGCTAAAAATAGCTTGCCAAGAAAAAGAAGAAATTCCTCTTTCTCTGATCGTTTTCAGTAATGTGGTCTCCTAAGAAGCAAATTCTTGATGGGGTCAGGCACACAGGAGAGGAGCTTTTGGCCTGCTTGTTACTAAAGTGAGCCTTCCATGAGACTACA